ATATAATTAAGGCATATTAGATATTTCTTGAATTTTAAGAGGTACCAATATCATAACATCATTTACAATCTAATCATATCATTTGAGCGTGTACGATTTACAATAGAATAGATGAAACACGCTCATGTCATTCCAAACACCTCTCTTTGTCTCTCTAATTTTGCGTTTTCTCTCATTATCAGAAAACCCTAATCTCATCCCCTGCGGCAACAAACCTACACCACTAAGGTTTTCCATCCTCTTTTCTCCACCACCAGAACCACCACAATCGTAGCACCACCCACTCTTCAATGTCGCACCACCCTTGTAACGTTACAACTTTTCGAAATTCTAGCGACCTTCAATGTGACCACCATCCACCGTCATACCATGGCTTTCACCACCACTCAATTCTTTTCTCTAGAATCATAGAAACACTAGACACCGTAACCTTCACAACCAAACATCACTGTCGGACCACACCACCTGCAAGAGCACTTCACCACCATCATCGTCTCCATCTTCATCCATTTATAACGGTGCATATGCCCCAAACCCCTCTCTTTCTCTCTAATGTTGCATTTTATCTCATTTTCAAATAACCCTAATTCTTTGATCTCCTCCCCTACGACAACAAACCACCACCACAAAGCGTTGTTCCCTCTTCCTTTATCTGCCACCAACACCAAACCACCACAATCGTACCAACTGCAGAAGCAGAGGGTTTCTCCTTGAAGTTACTTATGATTAGAAGATTATAACTCAACATTTATATTCGATTATTGATAGTTTATCTTCATATTTTTTTATTACTTGTGGCAGGTGAATATGGAAAAGCTACAATGATGGATGATGGCAGGTGTTGTGCGTACTGGTTGAAAGGGTAGCATGAGAAGGTCTAACTCTATTATGTTGTGGTGCTTTATACATGTTTGGATGCTTATCTTTGTCTTTATAAACTCTTATATATATTGTTTATCAAAGATAGATATTGTTATACATAATAGTACTTTTACCATTGAATACTCACTTAATTGAACAAATTCCAAATTAATACTTAACAAAATGATTCTATCTGCTAATTAAATGAGGAAATAGCCAAAAGAGAATGTATATTTATTGCTTTTTGGTTATTTACTTGCTAAAATTGATCTAAACTTACAGAAAGAAGAAGGTTGTACATAAAACACCCACCACAGATGACAAGAAGCTGTAGATCACTTTGAAGAGAATGTGTGTAAACGCATGACCAATAATCAAGGAAGTTAACATTTTTAAGGATGAAACAGTTGATTTACTTCTCTTATCCTTTTATTATAACTTTAAGTTGACTGGAGAATGAATATTTGTTCACATGTCTTCAGTTCAAGCCGCTATTGCTTCTAACACATGGGTTGTTACTTGTTAGTGGTACTCCTCAAACAAAGGGTAAGTTGACCCCATATTCTTTTTTACTTATTGCATACTTGTGTTTTTGTAAGAGGGGTGTATTATCTTTCCATATAAAAATAAACTACAATATATCTTTCTTATATAAATAAGTAAGGTGTTTTCTAATGGGTTTAATCTGGGATAAGCTATGTATGAGCAGTTTATGGTAACATATGCTTTTATTATGGTTTATTTCAAATTTAGAAGATACTCTCCCTAACATCCTTAGCCAGCTTGGTATGTATAATCTTATTATATCCTTAACATTGGGGGTTTGGTTAACGATGTTAAAGGTGACTCTTTAGATGGATTTGAGAAATTAAGCTTGGATCTGGTTTGAAGAGATGTTTGAATTTTTTTAGCTGATGACTCTTATGAAGATCTTCAGGTGGTTGGAGTTGTATTAATTGATGTTTGATGATATAGTTGAAGACCAAGGGGTGTTGTTTCTGATTTCTTTCATTAGACCACTAACAGTGTTGATATACATTCTCAATTGGTTGATATTTAGTGTGATTTGCATCTTATTTTTTGTCTGATTATTTTTAGGTGCTAGGTGTTTTGTTTTTATCTATGTTATTTGTCTTATTTTGTTTTTAGTTTGCTTTATATTGTGCAACTATGGATGTATAATTTCTTGTTCAGATACCTGATACCTGTTAGGCCTTTTCCTTTGATATAAAATTCTTGATGTTTAAAAAAGGTTTAAGGATTGAATGTGAGAAATAACAATATACTTTCATTTATTTGTATGTTGTGGCACTGTACTTTCATTTTTCATCAAATCATTATACTTTCAACCTGTTTCCTATTAAGAAGTATTGCACTTCAAAAATCTGTCTACTTACAATATTAGACTTGTGATTAATTTAGTCTTATTATGATGATTGTACTTAGAAAAATCTACTTAAAGCTTTGTATTTGATGGCAATGATATGATTAGCTATATATTATAATACTATAATTTTATGTAATAATACGATCCAATGCACCTTAATTAGCAAAAGGCACATTGTTATTCTTGCAGTTAGTGGAGTGTAAAATTAAGTATAACAATGTGGAAATAGAATGTTATTGTAGGCAAGTATTGCAGACCATGTGCATATTAGCAACTGGGCCTTGTACGAGCATAAAAGTTGAGCTTATGTTTTCTAAAAAAACTAGACTTTGAATGGTGGAGGTCGGCACGTGAAGTACATAAAATTGTAGTAAGGTCTTAGTCAATGTTTCACCTTACTAACTAGCATATTAAAGTGAAGAAAAATAATATACTTTCCATATGGGTTGCTTCTGTTTAATGTTAGAAATGTTCCGTCTC